AACTGTCCAGCAGATGGCGTGAACTCACATTTTCAATGTAATGTAATGTATCAAACTGTCCAGCAGATGGCGTTAATTTACAAGAAAAAACAGGGGCTATACATTAGGGTTGTCTCCACGTGAGCCAACCTGTTTCCTGTCACCCCCCCCCCCCTTCATTCAGCTTATTAGTAGAATATTAGTTTTCCCTTCATGTCACTGTTATAAATAATTTCAGCATCATCATTTAAAATAAAACATACATGCAGAGAAAAGGTACATTTAAGTATAATCATTTAATAATATATATTTACTTCAATGTGAAAAAAACCTCAACCACCGTTCAAATTAAAACTTTATTTACACAGTACCTCTAACAACAGGGTTTACAAAGTGCAACTTAGACTCAGGACTTTACTGAGTTTTTCTCATCATATACACAATAAAACTCCAACTTTATGTAACTTTATCCCAAAAGTTCAACGTTAAGAGTCACTTCTAATGAAGACTTTTCTAAAGATGCACTTATTCTTGAGTGTAACTTTATTTATGTACATCTGCACAATATGGTATGAATATAAAAAGGTATGCAAGAATATATACATGGATAGACATTTGTGACATTCACAATAAACGGTGCAATGTGGAATAATAATGATAAACAGCATGTACTATTAATACTAACGTTATTATTAGCATTATCATCCCTTGCATACTTAAACAACAACTTCCTTTGCAACATATTTACCTAATGGTTCATTTGACTTTATTTGAATTGTGAGTATATTTCTTTTCCTGAGTGTATTTTTCCTTGTTTCTACTGTATTTAGATATAATTGCCTATCTATCTATCTATCCATCTATCTATCCATCTATCCATCTCTCTGTCTATCTATCTATCTACCCATCTATCTATCTCTCTATTAATCCATCTCTCTATCATAAGAAATGATTTGATTTATTAGAGTTTGCTTGTGTTTTCTGAAGCAACATGTGTGATGATCTCAGTGAAAAGACAGATATTGATTGAATGATTGTGTTTTGGGATTAATCAGTAATTGTCTTTATAATTAATTAAGAAGTAAGCAGCAGCTGACGTCACTGCTGGTGTTCAGGCCATCTTGTCGCCGCTTCTCTCCGGTGCCCAACCAACCGGAAGCGCGCATTGATTTCTCCATGGCGAGTGCAGGCTGCTTCAAAGAAGAAGAGGGGGAATCAGGAAAAGACAACAAATAAGTCAATGACATTTTATTCAGCTCTTAACAAACCACCAGCGCGATCATCGACACGGTTTTAACGCTCGATCCTGAAACTGAGGATTATTCCTTCCGGATATGGGATCTACCTTCCAGGTCCCCACCTGCTGGGCACCATGATGGTGGTGAGTATCTTAGGATGACTCCAACAACGATGAAACACCATTTCACAGCTTCTCTTTCAATAAAGAAGAAGACCACATCACCTCTCTTCATATTTACTATCATTTTTGCATATTTGACCAAATACACCTCCGCTAATTATGCTCGTGATGTATCCTGCCTCATTTATTCCTCGACATTTTGTTTTAATCACGCAGATAATATAGTCCCCTCTCCCTTTAATTTAACATTTAACACCAGTAACAGCCATGATGCACATCCTCCTCCATTTCCAAATTAATTAAATGAACAAAAAGGTCGTGTTAATCTTAACCCCCCCCCCCCCTTTATTAGCTACAGGCCCTTTTTATTGTGTGAAGCAGAAACCAGAGGTCTCATGAGGAGGTGACAGGAGGAGGAGGTGTTCTTGTGTTTCTGGGGATCCAGATGCTGCCTGTATAGATTTAGCACATCTGGCACATCGGGCACGCCCAGACTCATCGAGAACCGTCCAGAGGTTCACAGGTTGTTTAGCTGCTCTGATCCTCCGCTGCACTTTTAGTTTTACACGTTTCATCACACGCAGCAGATTATTTAAGCTCCTGGAGCCGCAGCGGAAGGACCCCACTGTTGGAGGACCCCAGGCTGGAGCTGCGCCGCTCCCCCCGGCTCGTGTGCGTGTTTACGCGGATCTTCTCTCTGGTTTTGCCCCTGGGAGTCCTGGAGGTGGAGGTGGTTGTGCGGGAAACAAGCTCTCGTTGTCGCCCGGAGAAAAGCGACAAGTGTCGGTGTGTGGGCTCCTGGAGACGTGATCGACATGGCGACAGCAGCTGCTCTTTTTTGAATCCGCCGACAATTAAGGTATCGTTTGATTTCTGATTAGCCCTCAAAGTCATGGGCTCGTATCTGTGGCTGCTACAGTCGTTCAGCTAAAGATAGCATCGAACATAGCTGCTACCTTCAGTCTGTCACAGGTAGGAGATGTAGAAGAGCTGTGAGACCAGAACAATCGATCATTATCGATGAATCCCACATTATTATCCCTTTGAAGATTAAAGACACAGTTTTGAGTGGAAGTTGTGGATTCAAACTCTTAGAGAGAGACAATGACAAATACCCCATTAAATTAAAATGATCATATTGATGCATATCAAACCTTTGTTTGATGAAAATGATACTGAGATAATTAAAGATATGGTTTACAGCCCAGCCCTACTTAAAGTTCAACACAAACACACACACACGTGTGAATCTCACAGATGTATTATTATTGTAATTACAGATAAATTCATTCATGTGTCTCATGAGCAGATTCTCATTTGTCGTCTCTGAGCTTTAAGCACCTTGGACAGCAGCGGCCTTTTGACACCACGTCAGCTGACATTTCAGTCATTCAGAGGAAATCTGAGCAGCTGAGGAAACACACACACGCAGCAAATGCCCGGCCTCCACACAGAGATGTTGTATTGTCGTTTCTTCTTTTCAAAAGGTCTGTCGCTCCATTTGTTTGTTTTCTGAAGCAGCTGCCCTCTTAAGCTTCAGTATCAGTGAAACATCTGCCCGTGGAAACAGAGCTTGTGTTTCTTTGCTTCAGGGCTCTTTAAACGAGCTGCTGTGGTAATGAGGATATATCAGGGACACGATATGGACCTAAAGGGCAAGTTTTTAATGTCTGCCTCGTGACAATAATCACATGATTGTAGTGACATTAAAATAGCTTGTTGGTCCTGAAATCACGCTTCACTCGTCTGAATTACACAAAGTGGGTACTGTTCTGTGTTTTTATTGTGTAATTCTGTGGGATTGCTTCCCCCACACAGTATTTGGTGGAGGGAAACACTTTGTGTGTATAATTCCGATCACTGAAGCCTCACAGTAGCTTTGTGTTAAGTTTCAGACATTGTGGGGATCTCTTAAAGGCTGATGTGGACACAGCAAACCATCAAAACAATTTATAATTTTAGGCTACGTGTCCTTTTAGAGGTGGAATATCAGACAGTCAAAGAGGTTGAAGAGTTTCTCAGTAGCAGTAGGTTGGACATTTAGAATTCAGATGGAACAGGACTTTGTTTTCTCGCAATATTATGATTATTGTCTCATTAAATTCCAACTTTGTTAATGTAATCTCAGATTTCTGTCCTTCAAAGCGTCTCTTATAATCATATTATGTCAGGGGACAAGAAAAAATTTCATTTATCTGCTCAGCCACTGGCCCAGTGAAATTGCTAACAAGATTTAGAGCATGACATAAGCCTTGCATCAAGGTTTCACGTCCATCATTCTCAAGGCAGAGTAGTCGCTCTCTTTTGTGACTGATAGAAAACAGAAGATTAGCCTCGGTTCTCCAGAGGCTTTACATTTCTTAGCAACAGTATCATTGTGTGAAAATACTTGAAAACCACAGATAGCGCTTGAAGTGTCAACATCCGCTTTAAACGCTGCACAGACACCAAAGACTGTGTCATGTGAATCACAGAAATGTCCCAAAAAGTGTTTTCAGTCAGTCATGTTGTCTTTGACTCCAGGGATGACCATCCTGGTAGCTGATGGCTCAGAGGTGGGTGTGGATGTTTGACCTACGGGGGTCGATCAGGCTTTCACAACACCCCCACCACCACCACCACCCAGCAGCGCTTTCGCCAGACGAGCTGTCTGGCCACATGTCACAACACGGGTCCCGGGGCAGTCTTTGGGACACGAGCAGATGTGTTTTATGAGACGCCCCTATGGGAGAAGCTGCAATTAATTCTCACTTTATGGCCTGTGAATAAGCTCGAGAAGCATTTAGCGGCTGTTGTGGCTTTGGAGTGAATCTCCACATGTGTAATGATGGATGTTGCTGCTCAGTTAAAATGCTTCGTGGATCACAGTGTTCCAGAGATTCCCTTGAGTTGCTTGCTACTCATGCACAGGTTTTAATTTCAAAACAGCTTGGGTTGTTGTCGAGGCAGCCTCTGCTTCTCCCATTTCCATTTGGAAAATGCAAAAAAAGCCAACTGATGACTAACGGAGACACCGTGCACTTTTGAGATGATTCTGCCAGAGGGGAGGTTCCTGTTTTCTGGGCCCGAGTCCCAGGAGGAGCAGGGCTCACCTGTGGGAGCTGCAGGGACGGAGAGGCACCGGGGATGTGCTGATAATGGCTCACCAGGGTTTTTTTGGAAGATCTTGTTTTTGTGCCTTCCTGCTATTTCCTGTGAGATCAAGGATGGATAGAGAAGATGTTGTTTCGACTAAAATCTATGAAAACAATTAATTAATCCACTAAATAATTGTGCCATTAAAGGAAAATACTGCCTCTAAAAAACACTTTCTCCATGAAGAAATAAATAGATTAAGACCGGGGAGTAAATGGGGGAAAAGTGGCGAGATTATGTTCCCTTCAGAGTGTTTTTCTCTTGTGCTGTCCACCTCAGTTGTTGCTGGGTATTTCTGTGTCCCTGTGAATCAGCTGAAGGCGTGTCCTCAACATCAGACCCCATATTTACTGTGTTTCTAAAACCTCCATCCTACCTGTGACCTCACTGCTTTGATTCTGCCCAGAGTTCAGCGTGGCACGATTTTCATTTCTCTTACACGGAACAGAAATGTTTGTAATCCCTCCAAAAGTAAAATGAAGGCACATCAATATGTCAGCGTTTTGATTTGTCCACATGATGAATTCTAGTCATTGGTTATGAAACAGACTTGAGAGAGGCCAGCTGGAAACGTCACACCATTGTGTTATACACTAATGCTCTCAAATTGGTATTAGTCACTCCGTCGCCCATTTGCATGTGAAATGTGTCGTCTTTTATGTGCTTCTCTCCTCCCTGGCCTTTCCAACGCAGCTCTGGTCCTTCTAATGTCTGCCTGCTTGTGTGATAAGATTCCTGTACCTACAGTTCCACTGACGTTAGATTGATCTGCTTGGTAAAATAGAGATGCAAACTTGGGCTTGGTTGTAATCACTGTAATTTATCCCGGCAGTTTCATGCTCACAGCTTGATCCAAGAAGATGAGTTGACCCCCAAAGGTGAATGTACCGACTATTTCCAGAAGCCTTCTGACCACTTCCCTTCTTGCTGCAGCTCCCTGCCCCAGCTGAGCCCCTCGCTGCCCTCTGAAGAAGCAGGATGACAAGATGGCACAGCTGCTTGTACCGCCCGGACCTGACAGCTTCCTCCCCTTCGTCCCCGAGTCGCTGGCCGCCATCGAGAGGCGCATCGCCGAGGAGGAGGCCCGGAAACCACGGGCGGAGCGCCGCAGCGACAGCGATGATGAAAATGGGCCAAAGCCCAACAGTGACCTGGAGGCGGGGAAATCTCTCCCCTTCATATATGGGGACACCCCTTCCAGCCTGGTGTCCACCCCTCTGGAGGACCTGGATCCCTACTACAGCAATCAGAAGGTCAGTCTCAGAGCTATTACAGGAACCATTTGTCCTCCTTTACAGGTGGAGCAATACCTATAAGATATGTGTTTGACTCAGTTGGCCTTAAAGCATCATAATAAGTGCTTATCACTGCAATTCATCTACGTTTTTTGGCTTTAAATGCTTGAAGTTAATTGCCCAATTATCTCAGAACCACATGAGGAGACGTTGGAATGTCCTCCCACACTGAAATAGTGTCCTGTCTCTCTAGGGAGTGCAGATCAGTTTTTAATAGAGGCTGCAGAGAGCTGTGGCTCATTTTGGCACATTCAAGAAAATTGTCATTTATATGTTGCATGGATTTAACTGTTTTCAATAATGTGACCCTGTTCCATTTAGGGTTTTTCAGTCACAGAACTTAATAATTGGAGAAAATGACATCTCTTTCTATTTATAACTATAACTATTTTATTTTAGAATGGGAAGTGAAAAGAATGTT